CTCCCCCCCAAATCCCCATCCTCACCCAACCTGACGTGTTCTGTCACACATCAAATGTGGCTATTTGCAGTCCCATAAGTACCAGCCGACGCGTGGAAAGCTTTGTTGTGCTGTGGCGATTTCTCCAGGTCAAAAGTAGATTCCTGGAAACCAGAAAAAGACAGAACAGGTTGGGGTTTTTCCCAGGAAAAGAATATCATGTATGTGCGAAGTATACCCAAAAAAAAACGCAAAGGGGTGAGAGTGGGTGGGGGGTGGAGTGAGAAGTAGTCGTTTGCAGTAGTGATTGACTGGAACAGGTGGTCGTTTGACCAGATTCCACCGCTTATTTAAATATGTTATATACTGAGTGATCAAAAAAATAAAACTGTACAACTTTTTTTCTAGAAATCTCGCACAAAATTTGCACTAGTATGTTGTATTTGGAACAGATATCATTCATTTAAAAGGAATTTGTTTAACATAAAAATTACAAAGAATAAACTTATTTTTGAAAACGAAAATGGCTTTTATAAAAACCACCTATAAATGCAAAATGCGCCAATTTAAAAGATCTTGTAAGGAAAGTCACGAAATGATTGGTTTGAATTTGTTTCTTTCTTTTTATTTTAAAAATCTAATCTTTCCATCCCTATAACTCTTAAACAATATTTCTTTTCTCCTATAGAGTTGTTTTGTTTTTTTTTTTAATTCTGGAATTCCAAGAACCAATGGTCTATATGTCCTCCTTTGAACTCGACACATTTGAACAGGTCGTTCGCACTGTTCAGTGGTGGGCAAACACAAGGATCTACTCAATCATGTGTACTCAAAGCCACGCACACTGCACACCTTGCAGTATGGAGCTGTTTCTAGAGACAATAGGAGGGGGTGAGGTTGCCCAAGTTGAAAGCATTTGTGGAGTTGATATAACCTGGAAGACACTCGAAAAGTATGGCTTCAGAGGACAAATGTTAGATAATGTCAGAGCTCTATGCACCAACAGCAAAAGCTCAGTAAGAACGAAAGAAGGTGATACAGACTGGTTCAAAGTAAGATCTGGTGACGACAGGGATGTGTTCTATCTCCCCTCCTATTTATAATATATATGGACAGAATACCACAAGACGCAAGCCAAAGCCAAGAAAGCCTAAATGAACTTCTATTCGCAGACGACCAATGTCTTATTCACCCAACCCAACAAAGCCTCCAAAATCACATTACCAAACTGAACAACAGCTGTGAAAAATGTAACATGAAAATAAGCACATCAAAAACAGAAGTTATGTAAGTGAGCCGAAACCGTAGTCCACTGAACATCCATGTCAATAGCAAACAACTGAAATAGGTGAAGGAGTTTAAATATCTTGGCAGTAGTCTTTCTAAAATCGGGTCCATAGACAGAGAAATAGAAATGCGAACCCAAAAAGCCAACGCTGTCACCTACCAGCTGGGACCCCTCCTATCTCATCCAAAGATCTCCATGGACACAAAGAGACAGCTTATCACTCCAATATTCATACCAATATTATGCTACCAGTGCCAGACCTGGGCATTAAGTAAAACCCATGAAAGCAAAATCACCCCAAGCGAAATGAAAATGTCTCCGCAAAACCCTTAACATCCCAAGACGAGACAGGCAGAGAAATGAAGAAGCAAGAGCAGCTATCGGCATCGAGTCCAGCCTGCATTACATAGAAAGACGGAGAATAAAATGGTTTTGCCACCTGTTACGTATGTCAGCTGGCCAACCAGCTTTGAGAGCCTACAACACCAAGCATTCAGGCTATAAAGGAAAAGAAAGGCTACGCAAAAGGTGGAACGAGGGTGTCAAGGAAACCCTGAGAAAACATAATATCACAACTGAAAGAGCTGCAGAGCTGGCCTACCATAGAAAACTGCATCTTCCATCGACGCTTAACGGCAATAGAGGATAAAAAAGTAAAAGTAAGAAAAAGTAAAAGTAGATATAACCTGAAAGGTGAATATAGGCTTTGCCAAGGAACCAAATGGCATAGAGGATGTTAACGATCGAGGAATCATGAACACATTGCTATCCTCTGATAGCTTCTCTTACGGGGAAAATGGCACGGCCGTAGATGAAGATATGCCTTGAAAATGCGGATCGTTGAGATGTAGGAAGGTCATTGCTGTAGACATCGTCTACGGACAGACGTCTCATGAGGCTCATCGACTGAATTCTGCACCCTGGTGACGTTTAGAGAGGTGCAAACGGTGTGTGTTTGACCTGAGGTTGTCATTTTGTCTAGGAAATTTTAGTTCTGATTCTCTACAGGTCCTAGCTGATGGACCATTTCCACCCTTGACATGGGAGGGGGGGGGGCTACGCCCCCAAAATCAAAATTCGGCTCAAAATCATGGAATTTGAGTTGTAGGCATTTTTAGCTTCCTCAGCCTCTC